TGGTCGTCAAGAATTGACGTTAAAAGTGCAAAAAAACGAAAGACGTATACGAACCCCAGAACCAAGGAAACTAGATGCAAAGATTTCAACCAGAAATAGGTGTTAATTATGAACCACGTTTTAGGTACCAGACTTTCCTGGCTTATTTGAATCTGTTTTTCTAAACACCTGATTGATGGGCAGTCTGAAGTCGTAAGCACTTACAGCAATACGTATATACTATATACATTTATGCTGTAATGAGAAATTCCTGAATCGCTGATTACGAACCCCAGAACCAAGCAAACTAGATGCAAAGATTTCAACCAGAAATAGGTGTTAATTATGAACCACGTTTTAGGTACCAGACTTTCCTGGCTTATTTGAATCTGTTTTTCTAAACACCTGATTGATGGGCAGTCTGAAGTCGTAAGCACTTACAGCAATACGTATATACTATATACATTTATGCTGTAATGAGAAATTCCTGAATCGCTGATTGGCTTCGCACGGAAAGACGGTAATCCCATTATTTCACTCATTTCATTTACGTTTGACAACGAGTCCTAGTTTGGATCGAAACGTTACAATAAACATTTTACAACTCAATGTACGCCTCCATTCTCTCTTGATATATATATATATATATATATATGAGCTTAAATGAACGTTTCGCAATATAGAACGCTAGGGGGATCACGCCGGATACTTTTGTCACTTTATTGGTGGAACTAAATGCAATATTCATGAGGGCAATTAATTTTTCAACCGTGTCTACAAATATTTTCTGAAAAATTGATTAATTTCCAAGACAATGGATATGTAACGCTTGGCAACCACACCAGTAATATTTTATCATGAGTGCGTGTATTTCACTGCACATTTTTGGTTCATGGTGTTCTGTTTGCCTTATCGTGCAGGTTTATCGTTAATTCCGATCAACAGATGACCTGTCTGCCAGTAATTCATTGCCATCTTGTGTCCCATCGGTCGCACCACTTCCCTCTCGCTGTTCCCAACCATCGTTCGCTTCCAACTGCGAGAATATGGGTCGAGGCACATCCTGTCACACAGATCTGTTCACTCCGTGCTGCACTGCGACAGCCCAGATTACATTCACATTACAGATTAGTTTGTAGAAAACTGCCGCCTATCCTGGTTTCCAAAATGATTCCCCGCTCTCGGCTGAAACTCGAATCTACTGCTTCCCGGTGTATGGTTGACTGAATGAACTGAGGATTGTGCGTGAAGGTGAAGTCCTAAGGATAGACAGTTCGAATCAGTCAATATCAATTATCCGACACACACACTACTCACAAGTAACTGTGAGTCAACGGCGAAAAAACTTCCTCAACAGTTGTTCACAGCTGCACATTCGAGGTCATGGATAATTGTGAGGTTTCCAATTAACAATTTTAGTCTTGTAATCCCAATCTCAAAAAGGGGAGAGGAATAATCTGAGATCCAGTCTCATTCCCCGACGTGTCCCAATCAGATTCAAGCAGCAAAAAACCGCTAAACTGGTGATTTGAACTCCGGAAAAGCTGAATAATGCTATGAAGAACCGGTGAGGACAAACGTACTGTTGTGGACCTGCGTTTAGTTCGTCCCGATCGCATTATCTGATAAGTGAATTTGTAAATAAACAAATACCCTTTGCATATAGTTCTAAAGAATACATTTTGATATCAAAAAGCTGACTTTATTACTACCCAATGGTTGTTTGTTTTCTAAATCAAATAACCACCCATTTGGGAGAGGAAAGCCCCCAGAAGTTGGTCGATAAGGGGTCTATGCGCGGATATGATCATAACAGTCACAAACGGTTCCCCATCGCTGTGTATGAAGAAGTAACGAAATAGTCCACAGACAGCTTGTTGTTTAACGAATTTTGGCGAATAAATGTAGCATTATGTTCCACAAAAAGGATGTTGCAATCAAACTCGTTTTGTTAAGGTTCTCGTTATTCTTGATGGAAAGAGTCTGTGTATTCATTATTCCTCTGGGAACAAACTGAAATTATCCTGATAAATCATTTTAAAAATAAAATAATCATGTTTTTTACTTCTTTTTTTATTGAACAGCTATTCTTGAATAAGTGAATTTTTCTAGAAGGATTATCAGTGGCGGATCAAAGTAGACCGGAGTTTGGACTGAACTGGATTGACAATGCTGGCAATGTTGTATATGATATCAGCGAGTTGAGTAGTTTTGTTTACCGACATCGTACGAGAACACACACAGAGATATTCAGTCCACATGAAAGCGACTGAAGTGTGCCAACTAGTCAATTTTATAGCCAGTTAATATGGTCGTACGGAACTGCGATACAAGCCCCGGGGTTTCGAGCATGAATCACACAGTGCTTCGGTCAACAAAGAAATAAAACCGAGTTACCGCGGTGATGAGCATTCACACACACACACATACACACACACACAAATAACAAATTTTATATGTCCATTGGAGTTGGCAGCACCGACGGATGACGCATCTTCCAAAATCACATCTAGTCACTCACGGCTGGGGTCCATTGGAGACAACCTGTAGTGTTTAAAAAATCGATGAAAAGCATCCAGACAGTATAATTAGCGGATTTTAAAAAGAAAACGGATTCAGAATGACCACATGGTCACTGGAAGACTATGGAACAATAAGGCAATAATGTCTGATTGGCATTAACCCCTCCCCCCCCCCCCCCCCCCGCACTCACCCCCGTCATTCAGTGCTTCTGACTGTGAGCAAACCGAAACGTCAGCGAGGTATTTTTCGAAAAGTTGATATACTCGCCTGACTTCACTGATTTCAAACAGAGCAGTTGCCTGAAAAGTGTGAATCTTCGCAGACCCAAACCGCTGGTTAACAATATTTATATTCTGTGCGCAGGTGTCACTTGGTACGCAGATGACAAATCGTTTGTTGTCAATCATGCAACAGAGAAAAAGGAAGGTTCCTCTCGATCGAAACCACACACAATTTAACGATGCTGAGGGGTTCGGGCAGTAGTTTAACCCCGAGCTAGTAGACATGGGCCTCATTGCTTGACAGTTTGTTTCAATTCTACAAATGTGATCTGTTTCTGATTACTCCACGGCGATGTTTTGATGAGTCATAAATAGCTGTTGTTCATTGTTGTGTTGTCCTCTTTGCCGGGACTCGAACTGTGCATGGTTGAGGTTAGAGCAGGTACCCATTGCATCGATCTACATAGTCGATGGTTACTTGAAAGACTAGAATTATTTGTAGTTGGAGTGGTCAACGCCAGTACACGGACTCAAGAGCTGTTCAATGCGAACAACTTCAAGCAAGGATGAAACAGATGTACTCAACAATCGAATGAGCTGATCCAAACATTACCCGTCTAAATTGACTGACCCCGTTGCACCAGGTGATGATCGTCGACCGTGTAGCTCGGGGGTGAGGGTTTAAAGTCCCAACCAGAAGGTTCGCGGTTCGAGTCCTGAGAGGGGCATGAAAGTGTACACACTTCTGACGAGTGCTAAACAGGACGAAAACAGCTGTTCAGTGGCCTCTGACGATCATCACAAGAGTTG